GTGTGAGGTCGTATTGCACGCCTCTTCAGCTCTTCATTGGCACTGCTTTGGTGGGTTTTCATTGTTGAGGTGGAATGAAGTTGGTAATTGGCTATAAGAACGAACGAGTAGGGTTTAAAGGTATTGACCTCTGGTTACACAACTTCAATGTTGGTGATTATGTCGTTCCCTGGACGTAAATGGATGGATGGATTTTCTACGCTCTAAACCATTGCGGTTGGGTACTTCGGGATGCTATTTTCGTCCGATAGTAAAGTGGTGTTTCAGTTTTTAAATGTGTTGGCTCTTTTGCTCGAAGTGGAGTTGGTATTTGCCCTCTAGTTACATGGGAAGGAAGTGTACCGATGTCGTTCCCTGCCAGAAAGTCATGTGCACCGTGCAGTACGAAGAAGCGTAACACGAATTAGTGTTTATTGTGGTAAATTGGTTGAAGTATGAAATGGAGGGTTGCCCCCCTAGTTGCACGATCGTGCTGTGCGATTGTGGCGTTCTGTGGGCAGAAAGAAATGGGCGGTTTTCTACACCCCCTTCCGTTTCGCCAGCGGGGTACGATGGACTGTTACACCAGTCTTTGTAGCAGTATCTCTGTAGATTTTGGAGCATGTCCGTTACTCGGACTGCCCGAAAAGGTTTTCAATATAACGCACCTCTTATTACGCAGCAGTTAATCAACTGCGTCATTCTCATTTGCAAAATTTGCTTTGGAGGTTTTGGATGTATATATTTAATTTTATCATGGCTAGGTGTGTCGGTTTTGTATTCCGGTTTCTCGATTGTGACGCACTAATGCTATCGTTTCGTGGGTAGAAATGAATGAAGGGTTTCTTTGTACCCTAGACCGATTTTATCGAAGGTTACAGCGGGCTGGTTAACCATTCAGTAGCTGAGTGTTCTCGAGTTTGTTGTGTTTAACCTTCATGCCTTTTCCTCCGACCATATCAACTATTCCTTTGGTGAGCCAACTATTTGTGAACTATTTTGCTTGTACGTCTCCGAGGTTGGTTGAGACACGAAGAAGCTGTGCATGCGCCAATTCTTCCGAACAAATCACTGCCATTCCTTAACTTTCCGTAATTCCCATGGCGCACTAGGACCCAGTACCTGTTGACCTATTCCTACCAATGAACAGACATCTTCGAATTATATTGTTTCTTTTGAAAGGCCAAATGCGACTTAATGTCACCCCCTGACTACACCGTCGTGAGGTAAAATTATCGTTCTCTTGACAAAAGTGAATGGACAGTTTCTCGACATCTCTTTTGTCAGAATGGGCGATTACGACGGGTTTATCTCCATAGTCAGTAAACAACTCTAGATTTTTAAGCACGTTTACCACCTTGAGTATCTAGTGTTCAGCACTTTTCTCACTAATTGCACAATCACGATGGTTGTGGTTGCGTTGTTCTCTCGGCAGAAAGTAAAGTACTTCCGTTATGCTCACGTGGGCATGCATGTAGCATGAAGTGTTACGCGAAGGCTTTTTGGTGAGCTTTCTTGACTTAATTCGGGTAGTTATCTTACTCTCTAGCATATTTCTCATGCTTCATTCGACTCTCGAAATTATGATGTGCCATGGATTGTATTTCATTTTAGAGTTTAACAAGCTGAAGATTCTTCCGTTCGAGTTCAAGCAGTAGTAGGCACCATTTTTCCCCCTAGTTGCACCTACCGATTCAACAACTTACGTGATTTTCGTGTCCACTCTATCTAGGATGTGAATCGATTGGTATGAAAAGGTGTCACACTATAATCTGTTTATGATACCATCTGGTCTACGAACTCTTTCTTCGTGATGGATCATTTGAGACACGGTCTTTGTTAATTTAATGTGCACCTTGGTTACGCGTTTGTGTTGCTCAATGGTGTCCTTCTCTCTCCGGGCAGAAAGCGACGAGTGGTTTCCCTACATCCTAAGCTGTTCTGTTCCCAGACTTTAATGGGCTGCTACGACTTCCGATTTTCATTTCGTATTCTTACTAATTCAAAATTGTTTTTCTGCTAACTATTTAAGAAAGCACTCGGTTTTTTCACGTTTTTTTGGTTTGTATCCCGCTGAAAAGATGTATATGTTTATTTCTAACCTTGTAATAATAACTTTCTGCATTCATGACAATTGTTGAATTAGCTGTAATTTTTCTTTCATCGACGCCGAGCTGGCAGAAAAGCCGCAGTGGAGACCGCAGAGCTCTCCCTTTGTCAGAGTTGTCCAGCAAAAGAGATTAACGTAGACCCTATTCCCTTATTCTGTAGGGATCGGAGCTACAGCTGCCCTTCCAGGCCTGTTTGAAGGTGGAGAAGTTTGGTGATCTCATTCTCAAGGCGACGGAGCCGCAGATGGTCCTATTTAACCTTTATGATGACTGGCTCAAGTCTATTAGCTCCTATACCGCCTTTTCGCGTCTAATCCTCATCCTTCGCGCCCTCCATGTGAACAACGACAAGGCGAAAGTGACTTTGAAGCCAGACAAAACCACCATCACTGAGCCACATCACATCTGGCCCACGCTTACTCCTGAGGAGTGGATCAAGGTGGAGTATCAGCTGAAGGATCTCATTCTCGCTGACTACGGGAAAAAGAACAAGTAAGTGTTTCTTCATGTTTGAACGGCTTTGCCCTCTGGTGGCTTGGTAATTTATGTGTTGATTGAATTGCAGGCTGTGTATATGGATCGCAAGTTGACGTTATTAGCAATTGTAAACTGGAATGCATCTGCAGCGCTAGCTGTGCGTTACTGAGCATAGCGAAATCCTTTCCGTCTTCTCTCAATAAGTTGTGATACTAACTACTTATAATCTTTTCAGTGATTGAGGTCAACTGACAGTTTATTTTGCAGGTCGCTCTCTACTTCGTTTTTGCCTTTTCAACTGAATTTCCTTCATTAGAATTGGGTCCCTTAACACTAGTCTTGCTCTCTAGTTACGTGCACTTTCTCTACGACTTGTTCTTTTGTGGTAGCGCAATGCGATGGGTTTTGCAGTATGCTACGTTTGGGTAACGTCTAGCAGCCTCTCCGGAGCGGCTTACTTGTCCAGTCATGAATCATCGTTTATTCAGTGTGGTTGACACTGTGCCCTCTGGGTACACAAATGTGCTGCTCAACTGTGCCGTTCTTTGGGCAAGAAACAGTGTGTACTTCGCGATACCTACGAAAGATGGCCGTGT